GTACTGGATGCATTGTTTGGCTTCGAGGTGATCAGTTCCATTTAAGTGCTGGAGGAAGGAGCTTGAAACGAATTACAAAAGGATCAGAGCCCTTAGATTCAAATCATAGTCTTTCGAGAGTTCACATTGGTGGTCTCACATATTCACTCACTAAAGCTGGACAGTATGAACTAACAAAGATCCACCAAGCCAGGGCTGTTTTAAGGTATGTAATCTGTAAGAATGTTTACTAGTAAGAGTTTTATTTATATTTGGTAACTGAATGAATGGTGAATGTGTTTTCTCTTTTTTTTTTTTTTTTTTTTTGGTCACTGCTTTGGCAGGGGCAGTCATTCACTTAAAAAACTAATTGAAGCTAGTTATGAAAGTGTGAAGGAACGGCTAAAAATGCTTAAGTAAACAAAATTAAAAGGAGTGCCAGAATTTAAATATGAAGGAGTTTAAATACAAAATAAGAGTTGACAGTTACTTTTTGCTGATAATAGTGTGCTTTTGGAAGATTCTAAAGAAAAGTTGCAAAGGTTAGTGGACAAGTTTGGGAGGATGTGTAAAGGTAGAAAGCTGAATGTAAACATAGATAAGAGTAAGGTGATGAGGGTATCAAATTATTTAAATAAAGATAAATTGGATATCACATTGGAGGAAGGGAGTATGGAAAAAGTGAATGTTTTCAGATATTTGGGAGTTGACTTGTCAGCAGATGGGTTTATGAAGGAAGAGGTTAACCATAAAATTGATGAAGGAAAAAAGATGAGTGGTGCATTGGGGTATCTGTAAAGGCAAATAAACATTATCCATGTAGGCAAAGAGAGTATAGTGGTACCAACACTTACATGGGTGTGAAGCATCGGAGGGAGGAGGCTGGAGGCAGTAGCAATGTCATGTCTAAGGGCAATGTGTGGTGTAAATATAATGCAGAGTATTCATAGTGTGGAAATTAGGAGGTGGCGTGGAGTTACTAAAAGCATTAGTCAGAGGGGTTGTTGAGGTGGTTAGGTCATTTAGAGAACAGAACAAAGTAGAATGACTTGGAGAGCATATAAATCTGTAGGGGAAGGAAGATGGGATAGGGGTTGTCCTTGAAAAGGTTGGAAGGAGGGGATAAAGGAGGTTTTGTGGGCGAGGGGCTTGGACTTGCAGCAAGCATACATGAGTGTGTTAGATAGGAGTGAATGGAGATAAATAGTTTTGGGGATCTGACGAGATGGTTTGAGTGTGAGCAGGGTAATATTTTGTGAAGGGATTCAGGAAAACTGGTTAGCCGGACTTGAGTCCTGGAGGTGGGAAGTACAATGCTTGCGCTTTAACCCTTTCACTGTTGAGACCCCTGATCCTGAACTCACTATCTGTGTTGAAAAATATTAAAAAAAAAAAATTATTTTTTCCTACCAAAATGTCAAGAATATTTTTGTGAGTTTTAAAAGAAAAAAATTTTGTGATCAGTACTTACTGAGGTATAGAGACGAGAAGTCGACAGAAAGTGCACCACTTACTGCAACATCGGCGACTGCCGTGCACTCGGTAATATTATTTTTACTTTTACTCTATTTTTTCTTTTCTTTTCTTTTCTAATATTTTATTTTTCCAAGTAACTTTTGTGGCCTGTGAGACCAATACAGTGGACCCCCGCTCCCAGTGCGACCAATTATGTAAGTGTATTTATGTAAGTGCGTTTGTACGTGTGTGTTTGGGGGTCTGAAATGGACTAATCTAATTCACAATATTCCTCATGGGAACAAATTTGTTCAGTAATGGCACCTGAACATACTTCTGGAATGAAATAATATCGTAAGCTGGGGGTCCACTGTATAATGCATAATGTATATATATCCACTCATTGTATGCAACACAATAACCGTAGAAACATTGTTATTATAGTGACAAAGCCTGTTTACACAAACCAACACTGCCTTCCCCACCACCCACTTGGAAATAAGTCACTTTGACTTTTTTGAGTTTTATATAAATATAATTTAAGTTATAATTATATAAAACTCATTTTGTCTTGTGAAGTGCATATCTGTGATGATAAACTTCTCTACATTTTTTTTTTTAACACGTTGACCATTTCCCATCTAGGTAGAGTGACCCAAAAAGAAAGAAAAGCTTTCATCATTCAACACATTCACCATCACTCATACATAATCACTGTCTTTGCAAAGGCGCCCAGATACGACAGTTTAGATGTTCCTCCAAACTGCCAATATGCCAAACCCCTCCTTTAACCCTTTCACTGATGGTGCTGTAGTACTATGGCTTACAAGCTAGTGTTGGTGCCGTAATACTACGCCAAAATTCTAGCGGCTTCAAATCTAGCAGGAGAAAGCTGGTAGGCCTGCATGTGAGAGAATGGGTCTGTGTGCTCAGTGTGCACAGTATAAAAGAAAATCAGAGAGCCAGTGGTGCAATGTGGGAATGCCATTTCAGTATGCCTTATTCATCATGCCTCGAGGTTAGAAATACCTCACTCCCTGGCAAACTGGGACTCTTCCCTTCCCAAGTTCTGTACAGAAAGAGATTTGGTAATAAGTAATACATATTTTATGAAAAAGAGGAAAATAAATATCAAGGTATATTAGCACTAATGAAAGTAGTTTTTTAATTTAAATTATGGTGGAAAAAAGGTTAAGGGGTAGGCTCCGGGTGTACATGTTTTAGGGGAGCCTGATTATAGGATCATATTAGTTGTAGCTACAGTTAGAGGAAAAGGAGATGGGACAAGAGGAAGGGGCAACAACAAGAAAGGGGGGAAAGGGGGAAAGGTATAAACAAGGGAGGGGAATTTGGGGTGAAAAATTAATCGACTAGGGGCAAAAGGGTGGGCCTAGTGCAAAGAGAGTGGGGGGGGGGGGGGTTTGGAATATTTTTAAAAAAAATCAGTATTAAATGTGGGGCGAATTTTGGGGTTAAGAGGGTGGGGGCAGGGGGAAACGGGAGTGATTGGGGGAATGAAGTAAAGGGTGTGAAAAAAGAAAAAATTGCTTAGAGATTTTTTTAAAAAGCAAAGTGTTATAAGAAGAGCAAGTATATGGAGAGTAAAAAAAAGGTGAAGAGATGGGATAGAGGCAAAGGAGGGAGAGATAGAGTGGGAGGGGCACTGTCAAGAAATTTTAAATGAAAATAAAAAAAAAATTTGGAGGAATTTAGACAAGTTAAGAAAGCCGGGGAACGTATTTTTTGTCATTTAAAAAACGAGAGGGAAGTTAGTAAGGGGGGAAGGAGGCATTAGGTAATGCGAAATTTTTTTGAGGAATTTTTTAAAATTTTTAGGAAAAAGGGGGGTGGTAATTTTCATGCCGGGCCAGGGAGGTTACCATTTTTTAGGAGTGAAGAAGAAAAAATGAAAGTGTGGGGGAGTACGTGGGGCTTTACGTAGAATAAAAGGGGTAAAGCACTGGAACTGGGGGATCATGACAAAATGTTAAAAGCAGGGGATAAGTGTTGGAGTGGTTGGTACTTTTTTTTTAAAAAATGTAATAAAAAGGGGAAGTACCGGGGTTTGGGCAAGAGCAGTATAGCCCCCTTTATATAAAGGAAAAGGGGGACAAAAAAATTGAAAAAATTATAAAAGGAATAAGTTTACAAGAATACCAGGAAAAGTGTACAGTGGGGTTATCAGGGAAAAGCATTAGAGGAAAGACAAATGAGTTTACGGATGAGCAAGGGGGTTTCAGAGTGGGTGGGGGAGTTAGATCAAGTGTTTACATTGAAGCATATATGTGAAAGTATTTAAATAAAGGTAGGAAGTTTTTTTTGCATTTATGGATTTAGAAAAGGCAATGATGGATGGATGGGGGGAGCAATGTGGCAGATGTTGCAGGTCGTAATGGAATAGTGGTAAATTACTAAATGCTGTAAAGAGTTCTTATGAGGATAGTGAGGCTCAATTTTGGGGTGGTAAAGAGAGGGAACTACCCCCGGGAAAAGTAGGCTTAGACGGGAATGTGTAAGTCACCATTTTTGTTTAATATTTTAAGATGGGGTTTAGTAGGTTGGTGACAGCAACCCCCCAGGGAAATACTTACCGTCCCCGCAGATGACTTGAAACAAAACCTGTAAAGTTTTGCAGATGGTAGGATTGCTGGGTTTTTTTTTCTGTCTCATAAACACGCTAATAACGGGATATCTTGTACTTCCTACTACACTTTGGTCACAATTTAAGACACCACAGCCCTAATATATACATACAATTTGGGTTTTTTCCCCCTTTTTTTTTTAATAGCTCTTTTTTCCTCTTTATTTCTTCTATTGTCCACGGGAAGTGGAAAAGAACTTTTCCCCCCGTAAGCCATGCGTTCGTATGACACTAAAATGCCGGGGGCAAAGGGGTATAACCCCCTTTTTCCCGTAGACATTTACTAAAAAAGAGAAGAAAAAAACTTTATAAAACGGGGTGCTTTAAAGTGCGTGGATGTAGTGCGGATCAAGAAACAGATGATTGCGATGTTATAATGAAAAGAAGTTGGATGTCCTGGCCCAAGCCCAACAAAGCTGAAGGGGGTAGGGGGGTTTCGGGAGGGAAATAAATGGGATTAAATCTGGGAAACGAGAGAGTTAGGCAAAGGAAGGGGTAGCAGTAATGTTGATGATCAGTTATGGGGGAGAAAAGAAATTGAATGTTAAATTCAAAAATTAAGTTGGGTTAAAGTAAAGGTTGGATGCAGAAGTGGGGGCATAATAAGCTGTATCACCTGGAAAAGAGAGGAATGCAGAGGGGAGAGAGAGAGATTTTGGGGGATGTTAAGTGAATGTATAGAGCCTTTGAACCAAGTGAAGAGTAATTGGGTAGGGGGCCGAAGCTAAAGTAGGAGAAACTTTTAGAGAGGATGTAGGTAAGTTTGGGGTGCCAGGTGTAAATGATAATGGGAGCCCTTTTATTTAACTTTTTTTTAAAAAGGGGGTTTAGTTATAGGTAAACATATTTTAAGAAAAAAAGGATTAATAAGTAACAAGAAAGATGTAGGGAAATGACAGTAGTTTGTTTTATTATGATTGGTAGATAAAAGACTGTTTTTAGTAGACTTTAGGGGTACATGTTTATAAGGGGCCACGATTATCAGTCACTTTTTATTGTAGCTACACGAGAGTAAAAAATAGATGGGAACAAAGGGGAAAGAAGCATCGGAAAGAGGGTAAGTTTATAAAATAAAAAAAGGGGCAGTTAGGGGAAGATATAAACACTATTGGAGGATAGATGGGCTAATGAAGCATAGGGGAATGGGGGCGAAGGTATGGGGTGTTTAAAAATGTATGTTTGAGTGTTCAGCAAATTTGTGGGTTACAGGAAAGTGGGTGTGGAGGGAAAGGGGCGATTGGTGGAAATGAAGTAAAAGAGTAAAAGGGAGAAAAATTAGCATATGGAAGTTTTTACAAAAATAAAAGTGATGCAAGGGGGAAGAGTATAGGAGAAAAAGAGGGTTAAGAGAGTGGGAAACAATGTAAAAAGAAGCAAAAGAGAATGGAGGATTTATCAACAAATTTTGTTGAAAATAAGAAAAAGTTTTGGAGTGAAATTTTTCAAGTTAAGAAAGCAAAGACAAATGGGTTTTTCAGTTAAAAATAGGGGAAAGGGGGGAATGGGGGGAATATTTGAGGGAATTTTTAAATTTATGAAGATAGGGAAGCGTGATTTCGTGTATAGGGCAAGGAGGAAAAACATCTTGTAGGGGTAGGAAGAGCCAGTTTTGAGTGTGGGGGGAAATTCGGAGCTAGGTTTAAAAAGAAAGGGGGGAAGGGACCCGGGGTTGATGGGATAAAAAAGAAATGTTAAAAACAGGGGGAATAGTTTTGGGGTGGTTGGGCAATTTTTTAATAAATGTATGGAAGAGGGAAGGTACCTAGGGATTGGCGGGGAGCTGCATATTTCCTTTGTATAAAGGCAAAGGGGATAAAAGAGAATGAAAAAATTATAGGGGGATAAGTCTGTTGAGTATACCTGGCAAAGTGTATGGTAGAGTTTTATTGAAAGAATTAAGAGTAAGACGGAGAATAGGATAGCAGATGAACAAGGAGGCTTTAGAAAGGTAGGGGGTGTGTGGACCAGGTGTTTACAGTGAAACATATAAGTGAACAGTATTTAGATAAGGCTAAAGAGGTCTTTGTGGCATTTATGTATTTGGAAAAGGCGTATGACAGGTGGATAGGGGGCAATGTGGCAGATGTTGCAGGTGTAATGGTGTAGGAGGTAGGTTACTGAAAGCAGTGAAGAATTTTTACGAGGATAGTGAGGCTCAAGTTAGAGTATGTAGGAAAGAGGGAATTATTTCCCAGTAAAAGTGGCCTTAGACAAGGATGTGTTGATGCCACCGTGGTTGTTTAATATATTTATAGATGGGGTTGTAAGAGAAGAAAAATGCAAGGGTCTTGGCAAGAGGCGTAGATTTTAAAAGATAAAGAATCACACATAAAGTGGGAGTTGTCACAGTTGCTCTTTGCTGATGACACTGTGCTCTTGGGAGATTCTGAAGAGAAGTTGCAGAGATTGTGGATAAATTTTGGGTAGGGTGTGCAAAAGAAGAAAATTGAAAGTGAATACAGGAAAGAGTAGGTTATGAGGATAACAAAAAGATTAGGTGATGAAAGATTGGATATCAGATTGGAGGGAGAGAGTATGGAGGAGGTGAATGTATTCAGATATTGGGGGGTGGACGTGTCAGCGGATGGGTCTATGAAAGATGAGGTGAATCATAGAATTGATGAGGGGAAAAGGGTGAGTGGTGCACTTAGGAGTCGTGGAGACAAAGAACTTTGTCCTTGGAGGCAAAGAGGGGAATGTATGAGAGTATAGTTTACCAACGCCTTATATGGGTGTGAAGCATGGGTGATGAATGTTGCAGCGAGGGGAAGGCTGGAGGCAGTGGGGATGTCATGTCAGAGAGCAATGTGTGGTGTGAATATAATGCAGAGAATGCGTAGTTTGGAAGTTAGGAGGAGGTGCGGGGGTTACCAAAAAATGTTGTCCAGAGGGGTGAGAAGGGTTGTTGAGGTGGTTCGGACATGTGGGGAGAATGGAGCGAAACAGAATAACTTCAAGAGTGTATCAGTCTTTTAGTGGAAGGAAGGCGGGGGAGGGTCGGCCTAGGAAAGGGTGGAGGGAGGGGGTAAAGGGGTTTTGTGTGCGAGGGCTTGGACTTCCAGCAGGCATGCGTGAGCGTGTTTGATAGGAGTGAATGGAGACAAATGGTTTTAATAACTTTGACGTGCTTTTGGAGTGTGAGCAAAGTAACATTTATGGGGGGTTCGGGGAAAACCCGGCGGGCCGGACTTGAGTCATGGAGAGGGAAAAATACAGTGCCTGCATTGAAGGGGGGTGAAAATGTTGAAATTTAAAAACTGTAGTTTTAAGCCCCCTTTGCAAGACAGTGATGGAGTGAATGGGGTGAAAGTTTTTCTTTTTGGGGCCACCCTGCCTTGTGGGGAACGGCCATGTGATAATAAAAAAAAATAAATAAGAGGGGGTTGTAAAGAAATAAATGCAGGGTTTCGGGAGGGGGTGGGATTAAAATTAGGGGAATCAAATACAAAATGGGAATTGACACGTTACTTTTTGCTGAATACTCTGTTTATGGGAGATTCTAAGGAAAAATTGCAAAGGTTAGGGGATGAGTTTGGGAGTGTGGGGTAAAGGAGAAAGTTAAAGGAACATAGAAAAGAGTAAGGTTAGAGGGTATAAAATGATTTAGATAAAAAAAATTGGATATCAAATTGGGGGGGAGGAGTATGGAAAAAGTAAATGTTTTCTATACTTGGGGTTGAATGTCGGTGGATGGATTTAGAAGGATGAGGTTAAACTAGAATTTATGAGGGAAAAAAGGGGGTGGTGCGTTTAGGGATATGTGGGGGTCAAAAAAATTATCTGTGGAGGGAAAAAGGGAGTGTATGAAAGTATATATACCAACACTTTTATATGGGTGTGAACTTGGGTTGGAATGCAGCAGCGAGGAGGCGGTTTGGGGGGCAGTGGAGATTTCTTTAAAAGGGGAAAGTGGGTTTTAAAAAATTATGCAGAAAATTCGGATGTGGGAAAATTTGGAGAAGGGTGGGGTTAATATAAAATTAGTGAGAGGGCTGAAGAGGGGGTTTAGGTGGGTTTTTTCTTAGGAGAATGGGTCAAAGTAGAATACTAGAAGCATTTAAAAACTGTAGGGGAAGGAAGGGGGGGTAGGGGTGTCCCGAAAAAGGTTGGAAGGAAAGGGGTAAGGGGGGTTTTTTGGGTGAGGGGCTTGGACTTCAGCCCGCATGCAGACGTGTTCAATGGAGTGAATGGAGACGAATGGGTTTTGGGGCCTGACATCTGTTGGGGGTGTGGCAGGGTAATATTTTGTGAAGGGATTCAGGGAAAACCGGTTATTTTTTTATAGCTGGGCTTGATCCTGGAAATGGGAAGTACAAAAAACCCGCCTCTAAAGGGGGGGTTTTGGGATTTAGAAGTTTTGGAGGGGTTGTTGTTACTTTATTGTAAGCTTCTAAACTGTTTTGTTCTGACACTTCTGCAAAAACTGATTTGGAGTGAGGTGAAAGTATTGAATGATGAAAGTATTATCTTTCTGGGGACTTCTTCTTTTTGGGTCACCCTGCCTTGGTGGAAGATGGCTGATTTGTTAAAAAAAAAAAAAAAGAGTTGATAGTAAAAACAGTAAGTTTTAAACATCTGAATAAGGATTAATTAAAAAAATAATTCTATTTCTCATGTCTGTTATTTTCCTGGCAGCTCAGCAAAGCATCGCAGTATGACAACACTAGCACAGAGGAAGAAAAGAGGTAGTATGCAGAAACGCAATGAGCATTGCATCTTCTTCAACCGATTTGGACGGTGCACCAAAAAGGACAGAGGAGACTGCCCATATATTCATGATCTTAAGAGAGTTGCTGTATGTACTAGGTAAGTATGTATTTCAAAACAGTAACTTTTTTTTTTTTTTTTCTAGTTCTGTCTCAGCCAGTCCCTATTACCCTTTGCATCGTGTACTCATTATTTATGTGGATTTTCATCTTCTGTACATCACTAATAATCTGACAGAGGGCAGAAGGTAATGAGGAATTTTGTTATTTTTTTATTTATTAACACACTTGCCGATTCCCACCAAGGCAGGGTGGACCGAAAAAGAAAAACTTTCACCATCGTTCACTCCATCACTGTCTTGCCAGAAGGGTGCTTACACTACAGTTTATAAACTGCAACATTAACACCCCTCCTTCAGAGTGTAGACACTGTACTTTCCATCTCCAGGACTCAAGTCCGGCCTGCCGGTTTCCCTGAATCCCTTCATAAATGTTACTTTGCTCACACTCCAACAGCACGTCAAGTATTAAAAACCATTTGTCTCCATTCACTCCTATCAAACATGCTCACGCATGCCCGCTGGAAGTCCAAGCCCCTCACACACAAAACCTCCTTTACCCCCTCTCTCCAACATTACCTAGGCCGACCCCTACCCGGCCTTCCTTCCACTACAGACTGATACACTCTTGAAGTCATTCTGTTTTGCTCCATTCTCTCTACATGTCCAAACCACCTCAACAACCCTTCCTCAGCCCTCTGGACAACAGTTTTGGCAATCCCGCACCTCCTCCTAACTTCCAAGCTACGAATTCTCTGCATTATATTCACACCACACATTGCCCTCAGACATGACATCTCCACTGCCTCCAGCCTTCTCCTCTCTGCAACATTCATCACCCATGCTTCACACCCATATAAGAGCGTTGGTAAAACTATGCTCTCATACATTCCCCTCTTTGCCTCCAAGGACAAAGTTCTTTGTCTCCACAGACTCCTAAGTGCACCACTCACCCTTTTCCCCTCATCGATTCTGTGATTCACCTCATCTTTCATAGACCCATCCGCTGGCACGTCCACTCCCAAATATCTGAATACATTCACCTCCTCCTCCATACTCTCTCCCTCCAATCTGATTTCCAATCTTTCATCACCTAATCTTTTTGTTATCCTCATAACCTTACTCTTTCCTGTATTCACTTTTAATTTTCTTCTTTTAAATATCCTACCAAATTCATCCACCAACCTCTGCAACTTCTCTTCAGAGTCTCCCAAGAGCACAGTGTCATCAGCAAAGAGCAACTGTGACAACTCCCACTTATGTTTGATTCTTTATCTTTTAACTCTACGCCTCTTGCCAAGACCCTCGCATTTACTTCTCTTACAACCCCATCTGTAAATATATTAAACAACCACGGTGACATCACACATCCTTGTCTAAGGCCTGCTTTTACTGGGAAATAGTCTCCCTCTTTCCTACATACTCTAACTTGAGCTTCACTATACTTGTAAAAACTCTTCACTGCTTTCAGTAACTTACCTCCTATACCATGCACTTGCAACATCTGCCACATTGCCCCCCTATCCACCCTATCATATGCCTTTTCCAAATCCATAAATGCCACAAAAACCTCTTTAGCCTTATCTAAATACTGTTCACTTGTATGTTTCACTGTAAACACCTGGTCCACACACCCCCCTACCTTTCCTAAAGCTTCCTTGTTCATCTGCTATCCTATTCTCCGTCTTACTTTTAATTCTTTCAATAATAACTCTACCATACACTTTACCAGGTATACTCAACAAACTTCTCCCCTATAATTTTTGCACTCTCTTTTGTCCCCTTTGCCTTTATACAAAGGAACTATGCATGCCAATCCCTAGGTACCTTACCCTCTTCCAAACATTTATTATATAATAGCACCAACCACTCCAAAACTATATCCCCACCTGCTTTTAACATTTTTATCTTTATCCCATCAATCCCAGCTGCCTTACCCTCTTTCATTTTACCTACTGCCTCACGAACTTCCCCCACACTCACGACTGGCTCTTTCTCACTCCTACAAGATGTTATTCCTCCTTGCCCTATACACGAAATCACAGCTTCCCTATCTTCAACAACATTTAACAATTCCTCAAAATATTCCCTCCATCTTCCCAATACCTCTAACTCTCCATTTAATAACTTTCCTCTCCTATTTTTGACTGACAAATCCATTTGTTCTCTAGGCTTCCTTAACTTGTTAATCTCACTCCAAAACTTTTTCTTATTTTCAACAAAATTTGTTGATAACATCTCACCCACTCTCTCATTTGCTCTCTTTTTACATTGCTTCACCACTCTCTTAACCTCTCTCTTTTTCTCTATATACTCTTCCCTCCTTGCATCACTTCTACTTTGTAAATACTTCTCATATGCTAACTTTTTCTCCCTTACTGCTCTCTTTACATCATCATTCCACCAATCGCTCCTCTTCCCTCCCACACCCACTTTCCTGTAACCACAAACTTCTGCTGAACACTCTAACACTACATTTTTAAACCTACCCCATACCTTTTTGACCCCATTGCATATGCTCTTATTAGCCCATCTATCCTCCAATAGCTGTTTATATCTTACCCTAACTGCCTCCTCTTTTAGTTTATAAACCTTCACCTCTCTCTTCCCTGATGCTTCTATTCTCCTTGTATTCCATCTGCCTTTTACTCTCAGTGTAGCTAAAACTAAAAAGTGATCTGATATATCTGTGGCCCCTCTATAAACATGTACATCCTGAAGTCTACTCAACAGTCTTTTATCTACCAATACATAATCCAACAAACTACTGTCATTTCGCCGTACATCATATCTTGTATACTTATTTATCATCTTTTTCTTAAAATATGTATTACCTGGGAGTGATCATTTCGGAGGATCTCACCTTCAAGGACCATAACATTGTATCAATCGCATCTGCTAGAATAATGACAGGATGGATAATGAGAACCTTCAAAACTAGGGAGGCCAAGCCCATGATGACACTCTTCAGGTCACTTGTTCTATCTAGGCTGGAATATTGCTGCACACTAACAGCACCTTTCAAGGCAGGTGAAATTGCTGACCTAGAAAATGTACAGAGAACCTTCACGGCGCGCATAACGGAGATAAAACACCTCAATTACTGGGAGCGCTTGAGGTTTCTAAACCTGTATTCCCTGGAATGCAGGCGGGAGAGATACATGATTATATACACCTGGAAAATCCTAGAGGGACTAGTACCGAACTTGCACATGAAAATCACTCACTACGAAAGCAAAAGACTTGGCAGACGATGCAACATCCCCCAATGAAAAGCAGGGGTGTCACTAGCACGTTAAAGAGACCATACAATAAGTGTCAGGGGCCCAAGACTGTTCAACTGCCTCCCAGCATACATAATGGGGATTACCAACAGACCCCTGGCAGTCTTCAAGCTGGCACTGGACAAGCACCTAAAGTCGGTTCCTGACCAGCCAGGCTGTGGCTCGTACGTTGGTTTGCATGCAGCCAGCAGCAACAGCATGGTTGATCAGGCTCTGATACACCAGGAGGCCTGGTCACAGACCGGGCCTCGGGGGCATTGACCCCCGGAACTCTCTCCAGGTAAACTCCGGGTATGACTAAACCTCTTTCTATACAAAGTTCAATCAAAGTGCTCCCATTATCATTTACACCTGGCACCCCAAACTTACCTACCACACCCTCTAAAAGATTCTCCTACTTTAGCATTCGGGTCCCCTACCACAATTGCTCTCTCACTTGGTTCAAAGGTTCCTATACATTCACTTAACATCTCCCAAAATCTCTCTCTCTCTCCTCTACATTCATCTCTTCTCCAGGTGCATACACGCTTATTATGACCCACTTTTCGCATCCAACCTTTACTTTAATCCACATAATCCTTGAATTTACACATTCATATTCTCTCTTCTCCTTCCGTAACTGATCCTTCAACATTACTGCTACCCCTTCCTTAGCTCTAACTCTCTCAGATACTCCAGATTTAATCCCATTTATTTCCCCCCACCGAAACTCCCCTACCCCCCCTCAGCTTTGTTTTGCTTAGGGCCAGGAGATCCAACTTCTTTTCATTAATAACATCAGCAATCATCTGTTTCTTGCCTTCCGCACTACATCCACGTACATTCAAACATCCCAGTTTTATAAAGTTTTTCTTCTTCTCTTCTTTAGTAAATGTTTACAGGAGAAGGGGTTACTAGCCCATTGCTCCCAGCATTTTAGTCACCTCATACGACACGCATGGCTTACGGAGAAAGATTCTTTTCCACTTCCCCATGGACAATGGAAGAAATAAAGAAGAGGAAGAGCTATTTAGAAAAAGGAGAAAAGCCTAGATGTATGTTTGAAAGTATAGTAGTACCAACACTCTTATATGGGTGTGAAGCTTGGGTTGTGAATGCAGCAGCGAGGAGATGGTTGGAGGCAGTGGAGATGTCCTGTCTAAGGGCACTGTGTGGTGTAAATATTATGCAGAAAATTCGGAGTGTGGAAATTAGGGGAAGGTGTGGAGTTAATAAAAGTATTAGTGAGAGGGCTGAAGAGGGGATGTTGAGGTGGTTTGGTCATTTAGAGAGAATGGATCAAAGTAGAATGACATGGAGAGCATTTAAATCGGTAGGAGAAAGAAGACGGGGTAGGCGTTGTCCTCGAAAAGGTTGGATGGTAGGGTAAGGGAGGTTTTATGGGTGAGGGGCTTGGACTTCCAGCAGGCGTGCATGAGCGTGTTCGATAGGAGTGATTGGAGACGAATGGTATTTGGGACCTGACGATTTGTTGGAGTGTGAGCAGGGTAATATTTAGTGAAGGGATTCAGGGAAACCGGGTATTTTTATATAGCCAGACTTGAATCCTGGAAATGGGAAGTACAATGCCTGCACTCTAAAGGAGGGGTTTCGGGATATTAGCAGTTTGGAAGGATATGTTGTGTATCTTTATATGTATATGCTTCTAAACTGTTGTGTTCTGAGCACCTCTGCAAAAACAGTGATTATGTGTGAGTGAGGTGAAAGTGTTGAATGATGATGAAAGTATTTTCTTTTTGGGGATTTTCTTTCTTTTTTAGGTCACCCTGCCTCGGTGGGAGATGGCCGACTTGTTGAAAAAAAAAAAAAAACTTGTCTGTGAAGTGTGACTAAGGTGTAAGGAGGAGTAGCAAGATATCCCTGTTATCTAGCGTGTTTATGAGGCAGAAAGACACCAGCAATCCTACCATCATGTAAAACAGTTACAGGTTTCTGTTTCACAGTCATCTGGCAGGACGGTAGTACTTCCCTGGGTGGTTGCTGTCTACCAACCTACTACCTATAGGTTGGTAGACAGCAACCTACAGGTAGTAGGTTGAGATCCAATTCTTTTATTAGCAATGTTCTTCTTTCAACAAACAGGCTATATCCCACCGAGGCAGGGTGACCCAAAAAGAAAAACAAAAGTTTCTCTTTTTAACTTCAGTAATGTATACAGGAGAAGGGATTACTAGCCCCTTGCTCCCGGCATTTAAGTCGCCTCTTACTACTCGCATAGAAGATCTTCCAAAGTTGTTAGAAAATAATTTTTACTTTCCTGCTGTAAATATTTTAATATCAGACAGCAGTTTTGATGGCAAACAATTGAGACAAAGATAATCTGCAGTTTAAAATAAAAATAAGTTTTCTTGACCAAATTGTAGAAAATGAAAATGAAATCTCACATTATTAAAATAGTCTGCAAATCTGGCAGAGACCAATTGAATGAAAGATGATAAATTGTTTCCTTCCTTTTCTTAGTGGAAAACTGCCAATATAGTTAAAGCAACGACTCTCTAACATTTGTCTGCTTACCTTATATTTTTAAGGAATGTAGAACAATATGGCCATGAAGGTAGTTTTAATTTTTCTTTTTTTTTTGGGGGGGGGGAGGGGGCATACTTGTATTCTTGTATTTACCACAATTTTTGCCTTTTTGATTACAGGTTCCTAAAAGGAAGATGCCCTGTGAGAAACTGCCCATTCTCACATACTGTAGATCCAGATAAGATGCCCGTTTGCTCACATTTTGTGAGGTCTACATGTACACGAGATGGTTGCCCATATCGCCATGTTAGAGTTAACCCGTCTGCACCATTGTGCTTAGACTTTCTTAAAGGACGTTGTCTTTCAGGAGAGGAGGTAAGCTACACATTCTTTTCTTATCCAATGTCATAAAACACCCAGTAAATTTCTTACAACTGTACTGCTAGGTAAAGGTGTCAAGGCATACAGAAGTTGGTCATCTGACCCATCATTTCTCTTGATAGGAACCTGGAATTGAAAGTTGGTCATCATTCTATTACAATAATGCAGTTCATGTGTAAGCTTTAAATATTCTTACCTCGTCACTTCTGTATCCCTCTGTTTCATGTTGACATCGATGATACCACTTAAAAATTATCATCAGTCTGAAACTTTTTGATATTTTTCATTTAGTTTAATACTGTCCCTCACTAATGTGACTAAAGAGTGATAAAAAGTTCCCATAAACAAGAGTATCATATTTGTTTATCTGTGTGTGTATTGCACGTCCGTGTGTTTTTCAGAGGTGTGCTGACATTATAATTTTTTTTTTATTAACACAGCGGCCATTTTCCACCAAGGCAGGGCGGCCCGAAAATGAAAAACTTTCATCATTCACTCCATCACTGTCATGCCAGAGGCTTGCTTACACTACAGTTATAAAACTGCAACATTAACACCCCTCCTTCAGAGTGCTAGCACTGTATTTCTCATCTCCAGGACTCCAGTTCATCCTGCTGGTTTCCCTGAATCCCTTCATAAATGTTACCTTGCTTACACTCCAACAGCACTTCAAGTCATAAAAACCATTTGTCTCCATTTGTTCCAATCTAACATGCTCACGCACGCTTGCTGCAAGTCCAAGCCCCTCCCACACAAAACCTCCTTTACCCCCTCCCTCCAACCTTCCCTAGGTCGACCCTTACCCCACCTTCCCTCCGCTACAGATTTATACTGAAGTCATTCTATTTCGTTCCACCCTCTCTACATGTCCAAACCATCTCATTAACCCCTCCTTAGCCCTCTGGATAATAGTTTTGGTAATCTCGCACGTCCTCCTAATCTCCAAACTGCAGATTCTCTGCATTATATTCACACCACACGTTGCCCTAAGACATGACATCTCCGCTGCCTCCAGCCTTCTCCTTGTTGCAACATTCACCACCCATGCCTCACAACCATATAAAAGCATTAGTATAACTATACTCTCATACATTACCCCTTTGCTTCCATGGACAAAGTTTTTTGCCTACACAGACTCCTCAGTACACCACTTACCTTTTTCCTCTCATCAATTCTATGATTCATCTCATCTTTCATAGACCCATCTGCTGACATGTCCACTCCCAAATATCTGAATACATTCACCTCCTCCATACTTTCTCCTTCCGACCTGATACCCAATTTTTCATTACCTAATTTTTTTGTTATCCTCATCACCTTACTCTTTCCTATATTCACTTCCAATTTTCTCCTTTTACATACCCTACAAAACTCATCAACCTACCTCTGCAACTTCTCTTCAGAATCTCCCAAAAGCACAGTGTCAACAGCAAAGAGCAACTGTGATAACTCCCACTTTGTGTTAGATTCTTTATCTTTTAACTCCAAACTCTTCCCAACACCCGAGCATTTGCTTCTCTTACAACCCCATGTATAAATATGTTGAACAACCATGATGGCATCGCACATCCTTGTCTAAGGTCCACTTTTACTTGGAAATAATCTCCCTCTCTCCTATATACTCTAACCTGAGCCTTGCTATCCTTGTAAAACCTTTTCACTGTTTTCAATAACCTACCTCCTATTCCATACATTTGCAACATCTGCCATGGTGCCCCCCTATCCACCCTGTCATACGCCTTTTCCAAATCCATAAATGCCACAAAAATCTCTTTACCCTTATCTAAATACTGTTCACCTATGTTTCACTGTAAACACTTGGTCTACACACCCTCTACACTTTCCTAAAGCCTCCTTGTTTATTATTATTATTATTATGTATTATTTTTACTGATTCCTATTATCTTTATTGTTATTATTATATTATTATTATTTTTTTTTTTTCAACAAGTTGGCCGTCTCCCACCGAGGCAGGGTGACCCAAAAAAGAAAGAAAATCCCCAAAAAGAAAATGCTTTCATCATCATTCAACACTTTCACCACACTCACACATAATCACTGTTTTTTGCAGAGGTGCTCAGAATACAACAGTTTAGAAGCATATACGTATAAAGATACACAACATATTCCTCCAAACTGCCAATATCCCAAACCCCTCCTTTAAAGTGCAGGCATTGTACTTCCCATTTCCAGGACTCAAGTCCGACTATATGAAAATAACCGGTTTCCCTGAATCCCTTCACTAAATATTACCCTGCTCACACCAACAGATCGTCAGGTCCCAAGTACCATTCGTCTCCATTCACTCCTATCTAACACGCTCACACACGCTTGCTGGAAGTCCAAGCCCCTTGTCCACAAAACCTCCTTTACTCCTTTACCACCTCTATTATTATTATTATTATTATTATTATTATTATTATTATTATTATTATTATTATTATTATTATGATAAGAGTGGGAGAGGCACTGTCAAGAAATTTTAATGAAAATAAGGAAAAATTTTGGAGTGAGTTAAACAAGTTAAGAAAGCCTAGGAAAAGTATGGATTTGTCAGTTAAAAACAGAGTAGGGGAGTTAGTAGATGGGGAGAGGGAGGTATTAGGTAGATGGCGAGAATATTTTGAGGAACTTTTAAATGTTGAGGAAGAAAGGGAGGCGGTAATTTCATGCACTGGCCAGGGAGGTATACCATCTTTTAGGAGTGAAGAAGATCAGAATGTAAGTGTGGGGGAGGTACGTGAAGCATTACGTAGAATGAAAGGGGGTAAAGCAGGTGGAACTGATGGGATCATGACAGAAATGTTAAAAGCAGGGGGGGATATAGTGTTGGAGTGGTTGGTACTTTTGTTCAATAAATGTATGAAAGAGGGGAAGGTACCTAGGGATTGGCAGAGAGCATGTATAGTCCCTTTATATAAAGGGAAAGGGGACAAAAGAGATTGTAAAAATTATAGAGGAATAAGTTTACTGAGTATACCAGGAAAAGTGTACGGTAGGGTCATAATTGAAAGAATTAGAGGTAAGACAGAATGTAGGATTGCGGATGAGCAAGGAGGTTTCAGAGTGGGTAGGGGATGTGTAGATCAAGTGTTTACATTGAAGCATATATGTGAACAGTATTTAGATAAAGGTAGGGAAGTTGTTATTGCATTTATGGATTTAGAAAAGGCATATGATGGAGTGGATAGGGGAGTAATGTGGCAGATGTTGCAAGTACGTATATGGAATAGGTGGTAAGTTATTAAATGCTGTAAAGCATTTTTATGAGGATAGTGAGGCTCAGGTTAAGGTGTGTAGAAGAGAGGGAGACTACTTCACAGTAAAAGTAGGTCTTAGACAGGGGATGTGTAATGTCACCATGGTTGTTTAATATATTTATAGATGGGGTTGTAAAAGAAGTAAATGCTAGGGTGTTCGGGAGAGGGGTGGGATTAAATTATGGGGAATCAAATACAAAATGGGAATTGACACAGTTACTTTTTGATGATGACACTGTGCTCATGGGAGATTCTAAAGAAAAATTGCAAAGGTTAGTGGATGAGTTTGGGAGTGTGTGGTAAAGGTAGAAAGTTGTAAGTGAACATAGGGAAGAGTAAGGTGATGAGGGTATCAAATGATTTAGATAAAGAAATATTGCATATCAAATTGGGGATTAGGAGTATGGAAGAAGTGAATGTTTTCAGATACTTGGGAGTTGACGTGTCGGCGGATGGATTTATGAAGGGTGAGGTTAATTATAGAATTGATGAGGGAAAAAAGGCGAGTGGTGCGTTGAGGTATATGTGGAGTCAAAAAACGTTATCTATGGAGGCAAAGAAGGGAATGTGTGAAAGTATAGTAGTACCAACACTCTTATATGGGTGTGAAGCTTGGGTTGTGAATGCAGCAGTGAGGAGGCAGTTGGAGGCAGTGGAGATGTCCTGTCTAAGGGCAGTGTGCGGTGTAAATATTATGCAGAAAATTCGGAGTGTGGAAATTAGGAGAAGGTGTGGAGTTAATAAAAGTATTAGTCAGAGGGATTGTTGAGGTGGTTTGGTCATTTAGAGAGAATGGATCAAAGTAGAATGACATGGAGAGCATTTAAATCTGTAGAAGGAAGGTGGGGTAGGGGTCGTCCTCGAAAAGGTTGGAAGGAAGGGGTAAAGGAGGTTTTGTGGGCGAGGGGCTTGGACTTCCAGCTGGCATGCATGAGCGTGTTCAATAGGAGTGAATGGAGACGAATGGTATTTGGGACCTGACGATCTGTTGGGAGTGCGAGCAGGGTAATATTTAGTGAAGGGATTCAGGGAAACCGGTTATTTTTATATAGCTGGATTTGAGTCCTGGAAATGGGAAGTACAATGCCTGCACTCTAAAGGAGGGATTTCGGGATATTAGCAGTTTGGAGGGATATGTTGTGTATCTTTATATATATATACTTCCAAACTGTTGTGTTCTGAGCACCTCTGCAAAAACAGTTATTATGTGTGAGTGAGGTGAAAGTGTTTAATGATGATGAAAGTATTTTCTTTTTGGGGATTTTCTTTCTTTTTTAGGTCGCCCTGCCTTGGTGGGAGACGGCCGACTTGTTGAAAAAAAAAATTATTATTATTATTATTATTATTATTATTATTATTATTATTATTATTTTATTTTATTTATTATCACACTGGCCGATTCCCACCAGGGCAGGGTGGCCCGAAAAAGAAAAACTTTCACCATTATTCACTCCATCACTGTCTTGCCAGAAGGGTGCCTTACACTACAGTTTTTAAACTGCAACATTAACACCCCTCCTTCAGAGTGCAGGCACTGTACTTCCCATCTCCAGGACTCAAGTCCAGCCCGCCGGTTTCCCTGAACCCCTTCATAAATGTTACTTTGCTCACACTCCAACAGCACATCAAATATTAAAAATCATTTGTCTCCATTCACTCCTATCAAACACGCTCACGCATGCCTGCTGGAAATCCAAGCCCCTCGCACACAAAACCTCCTTTACCCCCTCCCTCCAACCTTTCCTAGGCCGACCCCTACCCCGCCTTCCTTCCACTACAGACTGATTACTCTTGAAGTCATTCTGTTTCGCTCCATTCTCTCCACATGTCCGAACCACCTCAACAACCCTTCCTCAGCCCTCTGGACAACAGTTTTGGTAATCCCGCACCTCCTCCTAACTTCCAAACTACAAATTCTCTGCATTATATTCACACCACACATTGCCCTCAGACATGACATCTCCACTACCTCCAGCCTTCTCCTCGCTGCAACATTCATCACCCATGCTTCACACCCATATAAGAGCGTTGGTAAAACTATACTCTCATACATTCCCCTCTTTGCCTCCAAGGACAAAGTTCTTTGTCTCCACAGACTCCTAAGTGCACCACTCACCCTTTTCCCCTCATCAATTCTATGATTCACCTCATCTTTCATAGACCCATCCGCTGACACGTCCACTCCCAAATATCTGAATACATTCTCCTCCTCCATACTCTCTCCCTCCAATCTGATATCCAATCTTTCATCACCTAATCTTTTTGTTATCCTCATAACCTTACTCTTTCCTGTATTCACTTTTAATTTTCTTCTTTTAAATACCCTACCAAATTCATCCACCAATCTCTGCAACTTCTCTTCAGAATCTCCCAAGAGCACAGTGTCATCAGCAAAGAGCAACTGTGACAACTCCCACTTTGTGTGATTCTTTATCTTTTAACTCCACGCCTCTTGCCAAGACCCTCGCATTTACTTCTCTTACAACCCCATCTATAAATATATTAAACAACCACGGTGACATCACACATCCTTGTCTAAGGCCTACTTTTACTGGGAAATAATTTCCCTCTTTCCTACATACTCTAACTTGAGCTTCACTATCCTCGTAAAAACTCTTCACTGCTTTCAGTAACCTACCTCCTATACCATACACCTGCAACATCTGCCACATTGCCCCCCTATCCACCCTGTCATATGCCTTTTCCAAATCCATAAATGCCACAAAAACCTCTTTAGCCTTATCTAAATACTGTTCACTTATGTGTTTCACTGTAAACACCTAGTCCTCACACCCCCTACCTTTCCTAAAGCCTCCTTGTTCATCTGCTATCCTATTCTCCGTCTTACTTTTAATTCTTTCAATAATAACTCTACCATACACTTTACCAGGTATACTCAACAGACTTATCCCCCTATAATTTTTGCACTCTCTTTTGTCCCCTTTGCCTTTATACAAAGGAACTATGCATGCTCTCTGCCAGTCCCTAGGTACCTTACCCTCATCCATACATTTATTAAATAATTGCACCAACCACTCCAAAACTATATCCCTGCCTGCTTTTAACGTTTCTATCTTTATCCCATCAATCCCAGCTGCCTTACCCCCTTTCATTTTACCTACTGCCTCACGAACTTCCCCCACACTCACAACTGGCTCTTCCTTACTCCTACAAGATGTTATTCCTCCTTGCCCTATACACGAAATCACAGCTTCCCTATCTTCATCAACATTTAACAATTCCTCAAAATATTCCCTCCATCTTCCCAGTATCTCTAACTCTCCATTTAATAACTCTCCTCTCCTATTTTTAACTGACAAATCCATTTGTTCTCTTGGCTTCCTTAACTTGTTAATCTCACTCCAAAACTTTTTCTTATTTTCAACAAAATTTGTTGATAACATCTCACCCACTCTCTCATTTGCTCTCTTTTTACATTGCTTCACCACTCTCTTAACCTCTCTCTTTCTCCATATACTCTTAGCATATGAGAAGTTTTTACAAAGTAGAAGTGATGCAAGGAGGGAACTTTTTATTATTATTATTATTATTATTATTATTATTATTATTATTATTTTATTATTATTATTATTATTATTATTATTATTATTATTATTATTATATACATGGATTCCTTCTCAAAAATTCCAAAGGTTACCCATCTGCCAGTGTGTTTACTAATATTGTTTAAAAACACCTGTTAAATCTTGTATAAAGTTTACTTCCATTAACTTTCATGTTTTGATTTCACCACTACAGTTCAGCCTCTCCACAAAATGCAGGTCACTGAACTGATACACTTAATTTGTAATTGATCAACTTGTCATTGTACTTGTGATTGTCATGGATTTCTCAAGCTGTACTGATACTCAGTGACATATATTAGGTCTAGGCTTAAATACTGTAGTGCATAAGCCCTATGATTACTTTGGCCGAAATTCATTGCATAATTAGTAGCTTTGTTCTGAGCCTAAAATTATATCAAGTTAAATATATATTATAAGATCACTATCTGAAACTTAATTAGTTGGAATGTATAACTATTGCAACTTCTTTATATGGCTCAATTTTTTTTTTTTTTTAACTCGGCAGCCATTTTTTGCCAAGGCAAGGTGATCGAAAGAAAACAGTTATGATTATTATTATTATTATTATTATTATTATTATTATTATTATTATTACTATTCCATGTTTGAGTTCATATATATATATACAGTGGACCCCCGCTTAACGATCACCTCCCAATGCGACCAGTTATGTAAGTGTATTTATGTAAGTGCGTTTGTACGTGTATGTTTGGGGGTCTGAAATGGACTAATCTACTTCACAATATTCCTTATGGGAACGAATTCGGTCAGTACTGGCACCTGAACATACTTCTGGAATGAAAAAATATCGTTATCCGGGGGTCCACTGTACACACACACACACACACACACACACACACACACACACACACACACACACACACACACACACACACACACACACACACACACACACACACACACACACACACACACACACACACACACACACACACACACACACACACACACACACACACACACACACACACACACACACACACACACACACACACACACACACACACACACACACACACACACACACACACACACACACACACACACACACACACACACACACACACACACACACACACACACACACACACACACACACACACACACACACACACACACACACACACACACACACACACACACACACAGAGAGAGAGAGAGAGGAGAGAGAGAGAGAGAGAGAGAGAGAGAGAGAGAGAGAGAGAGACAGAACTGTTATAGTTTACATTTATGCCTGTCTAACACTATCACTAAAATATGAAAATCATGCTTTGCATTTTGTATTAATAAAATTTTAATTATCTTATGAAAACTGATTAGTTTTAAAGTGAACACTGAAGTGAGTGTTGTCAATTTAAAGTTGAAGACAGAGGAACTCTGAATATTTTTCTGTATTAAAGCTCCGTTTAGTTAAGCATGCAACATTATCCTGACAAGTTTTTTTTTTTTTTTCAGTGTAAGAAGCAGCATATTTTGGTATGTGATGAGTTTAGCAGAACAGGTAAGTGTCCAAGAGGTGTTTCTTGTCCCCTTTCTCATCATAGGGGACGAGGCAAGAAAAGGAAATCTGTTTCCTTGGAACCTCCCATTGGAGAAAATGACAAACAATCTGTTTCTGAGCAACGAAAAAGAAAATTAAGCGAGAGTAGAGATGTACTGGGAGGACCAAAAGTAAAAAAGAGAATTGTAAGTAAATCAAGAGAAAATGAAGTTAAAGCTGTCAAGCAAAGATATTTTCAAGCAATGTCATTAGAAAATGAAGATAAAGTAGAACAAGAAAAAGTAGTAGAGTTGAATCAGGATTATTCAGAAAAAACAAAGAATAAAAGAGAGGAAATGATACTGAATAATAGTAAGAATGAGGAAGCACTCACTAGTAAACAGTCTATCACAGTGTGCAACAAAAATTCTCCAATGCAGCAAATGTTGGAAATGCAGGAAGTCCAAAATGAATGTTGCAAAAAGCTGACTTTAGTTTCTAATATCTCTGGATATGCTTCAGACTTAAACAAAACTAGACAGAGATTATTACAAGAAGTTGACAAAATAAAACATTCATATAGTGTTGATAAACATAGTTTGGATGTGATAAATGAGACTAACAAATATTCAGCAATGAATATGAAGAAAAATGAAGATTTAGCATTTGATAAAACTGAGGAGGTCAATTTGATTCCTCAAAAAGAAGAAATCTTTGAATTGTCTGTTAATACAAAAGTACAGAATAATAAACGAAATACAAAAGAACATATGGGAAGCGAAAGTAAACTCTCTAACAATAGTATAAATATATTACAAAGGCCACACCTCCCAAAAACATTACCATCTTACATACCTTTAAGCATGAATGAAGATGTGAAGGATTTGTAATGGAACTGTGATAAGAACTTAATGTATGTATTAATTATATTTTTATTAAGATTATTATTTTATAAACTACAGTAAGTCTTTCATCTCTTGCCTTAGCCTCTTTGCTTCTGTATAAGTGCAGCTGTAGTGCATTTAAATCAGCTGTATACTACAGTAATAGGTACCTCAACACATCATTACGGGTCATGGGTAGGATAGTTCAAATTATTTTGTGTGTATACTATAATGAATTTTCTTTACTTCAGCAGTTATCTCTCACCAAGACAGGGTGGCCCAAAGAAGAAGAAAATCAGTCCTTCAATTCACTGTCTTGCCAGATGTGTGCTGATACCACCATTCAGATCATCCTCCAGCTGCAACATCTCCACTTCCCCTTGATTGCAGACACTGCCCTTCACACCTCCAGAATTCAAATTCAGCTAACCTCTTTCTCTGACACTCCAACAGTACATCCTTTAAAAACTACTTGTCTCAATTTGCTTTTATCTAACATGTTCATAAGCCTGCTGGATGATCAGGCCTCTTCATCTCAAAACTTTTTATCCCTTCCCTCCCTCCATTCCTGGAATGACCCCTACCCCTCCCACCTTTCACCCTCAATTTAGACACTTTCCTTGATGTACTATATCCCTCTTCATTCTCTTTGTCCAAACCACCTCGGCAATACCTCCTCAGCCCTCTGAAATCATACCCTTGATTGAGATTAAAAGGTGGAAAAGAAGGCTTTGAGTACTAGGTCCTAGCTGTGTGTGTATTAGATCTGAATGAGTGGAGGCAAGTGGTTTTTGTGGCTTACTGTTGGAGTGTGAACAAGGTAACATTTTTGAAGGATTCAGGAAAACCTGTTAGTTGAACTTTGGTTCTGGTGGTGAGTAGTACAGTGCATGCATTCTGAAGAAGGGACGAAGCTGTTGCACATTGGGGAAGGCCATTTGAGCTGTGGTCTTTGCATGCTTCTGGCAAGTGCATGATGTGATAGTGGGTGTTTTTCCTCTTTTTTGGGTCATCATACCTTGGTGGCAGATGGCCAGTCTGGTAGAATCTCAAGTTGCACATTCGAAGTTCACATTTTAAATAGATCACCATTGAAATATTGTAACCCAGTCCTAATTTTGTGGGGAAAGTGACCAGGCAAATGCTCAGTAAAGATTTAAAAAATAAGCTGGGAGACAGTAGATGATGACCAGTAGCTCGTAATTACACACTTCTGTGCCTTTGTCATGTACCTACTCTAGTTGTATTTCTACAATTGTTGAATGTGTTGGTGATTGACAGTAAAAAGTGAAAAAGTTATTAAATGAGAGAGTTGTGCAAAGAAGATATGATCCTCATTGTGGCAGTCATGAAAAAAGTTCTGCAGGGATATGTATGGCAGCCACAGCTTATCATATTTAGCAGTATCAGCTCTCCATCAATGGGAGAAGAGCTTGTGCAGCTCATGAAGATGTAGCCCTTAATTAGCAACAACAACCCACTTTCCACACTATTTTTTTTCCAGTACTACTACATATTTCTTTTACTTTCTCAAATTCATTTATTAGTATGTTAGTTTGGTATAGGTATGGAGAGTTCTTCAGTTTGATACAGTTTGGTAAGGAAAATGAGGCTTATTACTAATGTTGATTGCAGATGATAGTGGTTGTAACAGATACTGCCTTCCATATGATTGTACAGGTATTGTTTAGGGCTATAGTTGCCCTTGCCACACATTTCTGAATTAACAGACAGGGGCATCTACAATGTACAATATGGAAAACCTTTATTATTTTTGAGAAATTATGAAATTTAATTTTGTCATGGACATATCCCAGTTTTCCCATGTATCCTACAGTTCAAACATCACTATATCACATAGTTCAGGTGTTTGGTAACATGCATAATATGAGATTTTACTTCGTGTGTGAGAGAGACCATGTTTTGAGTGAGCATTTTTTGTGTAAATCATTTTAATTGAATAGAAGTGAAAATCTGTAATATTTTCCCTGTAATACTGTATATTCTTCATTTAGTTGCTGTTATGCTCAGCACTCATGTCATTCAAAACTAGATTGTTTCTAATGTAAATTTCAATTTCACAGCTCTTAAGCTTTTAAAAATTCTTAATTTCTTCCTTTTCTTCTGTATATCTAAACCTATCTTCAGTGTTTTCTTTTAATTACCATGCTTTAAAGAGTGGAATATAAGAATAGAAAAGATTATCAAAATAAACTGAATTAATGACAACATGGATAAGTTGTCATTTCTAAAAAATACTGTAGATGCAGTAGTGATGTATACAGAGCCTTGGGGATATTGTGTTGGTGCAGAATATAATGGCTGTGTTTCACAAGCAGTTAATGAGCAGTAATGTTGGTGTGTGAAGTAAATTTTCTCCCTAAAATATGTAGTTTAAGTAAAAGTTTTGTATGGAAAATAAAAGTGCATACAACACAACACATCCATGGACATGTATGTACACGAGTAATATGTACTTTGTCCCAGTCTCTTAGTGGTGCCATAAAAATTATGTATGTAGTGTGGATCACAGTTGCATAGTACAGTACTCTGATTTCCTAAAGAAAACAAGTAAAGATAAAATAATAAAAAAAAAAATTGTAGAATTTTGGAAGAATTAAGAAAAGCATTTGTCAGTTAAGGAATGAAGTGGTGTAAGTGCTATTAAGGAGGACAAATATTAAAAAAGTTGTTTTGTAGGCCATTATTGACTTAGCCAAAAAAAAGTCCTGATCACTTTAAGCACACGCATATATGACGATCATGTGTAACTTTGCAAGCGTCCTTTCATAAGTGAATTCACTTGACTCCTTTATGTATTCTGTAGCTCAGGGCCTTTTAATCTACCACAGGCAATGTCATTCTCTGAATTTTTCAGTACTAATTTGTTCCTTGCTAGATTACTGGCAGCATTGTTGGGTTGTATTAGTGACCAATATGCTGTTTTGTATCAAACAACAGTTTGGCTAATGGTTATCTTCCCTTCATCGCTAATTGTTGTAGGAAACCATACTTGTGTGCCTTGTATTAGTCACGTCGGACTAGCCTGTACTTACGGAGGAGGAGTCTGGCACTACTCTGCAAGAGTTTTTAGGTCATGCAGGAAACTCTGTTTTTGTCGATTGCTCCATTCATCAAAAAGCACACGCACTTCATTTTTGGCTCCTATTATAATATCCTGATATGCTGGTGATGTCTCCTCTCTGATGATCCTATCTTTAATATAGATTCTTTCTTGATTCTTTTATTTAATGTTGATTTATTACATTGAATGTGACCCCTCCCTTTGCCATGATATTAGTCCAAACACCACCTATGTGCCTTTACTGTCTTACTCATCCTTACTGTGTTGCACTGAATGACCCACAGGAACTTTGCACCTTTAACCCCCTGACTGTCACAACCCCAAATCCTGTAATAATAAACAATATACCTGGTGTCGCAAAATTTCCAAAAAGAAAAAAAAATGTTTTTTCTTATGAAATGATAGAGAATCTTTTCCTGATTGTAATGACACAAAAAGAATGAAATTGATGGAAAACTGACGGAATTATGCTCTCGTGAAGTTAGTGACCTTGGCGATATTTATGAATCGGCAATTTCGCCCACTTTGAGTCCTATTTTCGGCTAATTCCATTGTACCAGTCGACCAAACTCATAGCTATTTCTTTAGAACTCCATTTTTTCTATCGATTGAATACAAGAAACTGCCCATTTACCAATTTCAACTACCCAATAACGTGGTCAGAAATTTGCAATTTGGCCAATTTCACAAAAATTAAAAAATATGATAATTTCAAAATAGGGTCTAGAATGAACAATGGAGACATTCCTGGCTCTAAAATAACATTTTCTTCATTCATCAGTCACGTCTCCAGGCCCCTCTGATATTACTCTTGCTTTCTATTTTGAATTTTTATTCAAGCAAAAAATAGAGGATTTACTGTTATGTAGACTACTGCAATATTGTAATAATTGTATAAATAATGTCAACCCATTCATGACTGCATATTAGAATGGCTACTTGGACATTTATTGGAAAATGACATCATTTGTTTACTTTTGAACATCGGCAAAAATCAAACATTTCCCCTACTTTGAGCTCCATTTCAAGGTTCTTTTCATAGTAAAACCAATCAAAATCACATCTATTTCTATAATATATTTTCCATTCTATCAAATGAGACCAAGAAAACGAGAATACAACCATAAATACTATATGAAAATAGACCACAAAGTCAGTATTTTAATTAAAAAAATGGTTGGAGTTTTTTTTTTCTCATTATGCACTGTGTGCTGCAGAATTTTTTTTATACGGTGCACACTGACCACACAGACCCATTCTCTCACATGTGGGCCCACCAGCTTTCTCCTGCTTGATTTGAAGGTGCTAGAATTTATGAATATATGTACGTCAAAAACGGTGGCTCATAAGACATATATATACGACCAAATCAGTCAAAGGGTTAATAAATAATATAATTCTTATCTTTTCTGCCATGCACTGCATTGTATAGCTGTTACCCTTGACTTGCTTAGCACCCTTCATTGTTATTTTTATTATTACTAGTACACCTACCATCCGACTTACGACCTGCTCGACTTACGACCACTCGACTTACGACCGTGTTTTTTATGCCAAATTTCTGGGAAATAAACAACTATTTGTGTTGTACACAGTGTTTATCCTAAACCTTACAGTATAAAATACTGTACTAACAACATAAAAAGTAAAGTAAAACATGAAATACCAAAATACTGTAAAACAATAAAATAAAGTCATTACAAATATGTTTTGTTGATATTCAGTAGTAAAGTTCGACTTACGACCATTTCGACTTACGACCGGTTTCTCGGAACCGAACTCGGTCGTAAGTCGGATGGTAGGTGTACTAGTAATTGTATTAGTAATAGTACAGTCAGCCCCCCAAAAAATTGGAAATAATGTTAAAGCATAAAATACAAATGGTTTAAGAATCTTTATTAGGGAGGAACTTAGGAAATACAAATCAACATCATCTAGTCATTTGAGTTTTTGCTTTCATTAGTTTTTTAATTCTTTAATTGATACATGATCAGTGACAAACTTTTCTTCTTTACACAGCCCTTGTGGCTTAGCGCTTCTTTTTGATTATAATAATAATAATAATCTTCTTTACACAACAGCTACAGTGGAACCTCGGCTTATGAGTTTAATCCATTACGTGACCTTGCTCATATCCCAATCTGATCTGCTCGTATGCTGCGTCAATTTTCCTCATTTAAATTTATTGAAATGCCATTAATCTGTTCCAGTGGAATTTCTGCTCTCAGGAGGCAGGAATATAACGCTAATATCAACTCGACGGCTTATTTATCTATCACAGTTCATCTAATATGATATAATAAACAATGTAAATAACATAGAAACGTGATACATGTATATTCTGTAGAATGAATAAAAGTCATTATGTGACAAGTGGTGGCGGCCATTCCCTACCTCAAACGGCCGCCTTGTTGTGGGTCAGCAGGGGAGACCTCCTGCCATCCCTTGACAGACACCACCATCCCAGCTTACTGTTCAGTTCCACTTCTCTCTCTCGTATCTGCCAAGCTGTCATGACACCCAGTAGGCATACCAGTGTTGCTGAATGACTTACTGACTTGACTTAATCGTGTACTGACTTACTGACTAAATGACTTGACTGACTGATTTACTGAATGACTTAAAGTTAGACTTTTTCACTTAGCCCTTTCAGGGTTTCAGCCATACTAGTACGGCTTATGCCCCAGGGTTTTTGACGTACTAGTACGCCTAAATTCTAGCGCCCTCAATCTAGTGAGAGAAAGCTGGTAGACCTACATATGAAAGAATGGGTCTATGTGATCAGTGTGCACAGTATAAAAAAAATCCTCCAGCACACAGTGCATAATGTAAAAAAAAAACTGACCGTGTTTTTGGATTAAAACAACAAGTTTGCACTGCATTTTCGTATGGTATTTATGGCTGTATTCTAGGTTTCCTGGTCTCATTTTATAGAAAGGAAGACATATTACAGAAATTGAGATGATTTTGACTGATTTTACAATTAAAAGTACTTTGAAATTGAGCTCAAAGTAGCAGAAATGTTCTATTTTTACTAAAGTTCAAAAGTAAACAAATCATGCCAAGCGTCCAATACACGTCAACTGGTGAGTCTAATATTCTTTCACAAGTGCGCTGATATTATTTATACCATTTCTACACAAATGCAGTAGTCTGCATAACAGTAAATCTTCTATTTTTTGTAAGAATAAAAATTCAAAGTGGAAAGCCAAAGAAATATAAGAGGGGACTGGGGATGTGAATAACGAACAGAGAACTTGTTATTTTAGTGCCAGGAATGTCTTTCTTGTTTATTCTGGATCCTATTCAGAAATTGGCATCTTTTGAAGTTTTTGTGAAATTGACAAAATTGCTAAATTCTGACCACATTATTGGATAGTTGAAATCGGTAAATGGGTGGTTTCTTGTACTCATTCGATAGAAAAAAATGGAGTTCTAGTGAAATAGTTATGATTTTTGTCGACTAGTACACTGGAATTGGCTGAAAATAGAGCTCAAAGTGGGCAAAATTGCCGATGCGCAAATATCGTCGAGACCGCTAAATTTGCGAGGGCATAATTCCGTAAGTTTTCCATCAGATTTCATACTTTTGGTGTCATTATGATCGGGAAAAGATTCTCTATCTTTTCATAAGAAAAAAAAAAATTTTTTTTTTTTTTTTTTGGAAAGTTGGGCGACCCAGAGAACAAGTCTCGGAGAGGGCCTGGCGACCCTGAAAGGATTAAGAGGACCTTGAAATGGTGTCTAGAGCAGCTGATGCCTTACCATCAGTTGTATAATGTACTGCAGGGTAAAATAGAACAGAAATCCATTACAGAAAAAAAACATACCACGGGTGGGGTTATGGTTTGTTTGCAATCGTGTCATTACAATTTCATGAGTCATCCATTACAGAATTTATGGACACTCCAATTAAACCATTGACTTCAGTACCAGAACCTCTACCATCCACCTCAGCCCAGTAGGGCCACAGCATAACTCTCCACTCTATTCACAGTCATCAATAAACACCAGCGCTCACAATTTAAGATAATAAATACAATTATATTTCTGTTGCAGTTATAGTCTTAAGCAGTAAAAACATAATACATCACAACAGTGAAGTACAATTATATATTCACTTATACTTTTGTAAGATCTGGAGGTATTAAAAAAAGTTGTTTGAGGGGGAAGCTCGCATCCTGAATTTTTGCTGAATTTTTTGCTCGTATCCAGAAACAAAAAATCAACTGAGCGACTTTTCCCATCTTGAAAAACTCATATGTTGGGGTACTCATAAGCTGAGGTTCCACTGTAATTTTTTTTTTTTTTTTTTTTTAAGTGTAGCATTAGCACTAGTAGTTATAGCATTATCTTATCTAGTACTATAGTAGCAGTAGTAGATGAGATAATGCTATAACTGCTAGAATTAGTTCTACAGTGGAACCCCGCCTTACAATATTAATTTGTTCCTGAGAGCTCATCGTAAGTTGAAATTATCGTTAGCTGAATTAATTTTCCCCATAAGAAATAATGGAAATCAAATTAATCCGTTCCTGACACCCCAAAGTATGAAAAAAAAAAAAATTTTTACCACATGAAATATTAATTTTAATACAAACTGAAGAAGACATGCACAATTACTACTATACTAAGAATAGAATACATGACACTTACCTTTATTGAAGATCTGGTGATGATTGATGGGATGGGAGGAGAGGAGAGTGTGGAAGTTACTGTTTAAAAGGGGAATCCCCTTCCATTAGGACTTGAGGTAGCAAGTCCTTTTCCAGGGTTACTTCCCTTCTTCTTTTAATGCCACTAGGACCAGCTTGAGAGTCACTGGACCTCTGTCACACAACAAATCTGTCCATAGAGCTCTGTACTTCCCATTCTTTTAAGACTTTCCTAAAATGGGCCATAACACTGTCATTGTACAGGTTGCCAACACGGCTTGCAGTAGTTGTGTCAGGGTGATTTTCGTCCGTAAAGGTTTGCAGTTCAACCCACTTTGCACACATTTCCTTAATCTCTTTTTTCAATTCCATACTAATTCTTGCCCTTTTTACCACAGGGATGGCACTAGAAGCTTTCTTGGGGTCCATGGTGACTTATTTTGCAGTTCTTTCTTCTTTCTGATAATGTGAATGTATGCGAAGATGCGACCGCACTGGCTGGCTTGTAAACACTGGCGCAGAGGCCACACATGGGACGCATCCCGGACAAATCACGTAAGGCGAGTTTTTTATCGTGAGGCGAGGCAAAATTTTTGCGTTCAAATGCTTTGTATGGCGGATTTAACGTAACGCAATGCGTTCGTAAGGCGGGGGTCCACTGTACTAGTAATAGTACTAATCGTAGTACAGTACTACTATTATTAGTAGTACTTCTGTTACTATTTCTATTGACTAGTACTAATACTCTGAGGGATCTGCCAAAGAAAACAGGATGCCAGTGAGAATATCAGTCCATGTATAGTGGTTGCCAGACAGTTCCTCACTTCTTTAGATAGTGTTTAACCTAAAAAAAAAAAAAAATTGCTGTACAAAAACTATAATGTTCATATGTTCATTTTTAGTTTTTTTATGAAATTTCTTATATGCTGCTGGATACCTTATTGAAAATTAGTTCATAGCTTGTTCAAAATGTTTGCTAAAATTTATATCTACACCATAACCTGTGATAAGAAGTCCACCAGCGAGTAACTCTTGTTAATAGGTTTAAGAAACTGGATTTATGTATGTTTATTATGGCATTTTAAAGATTTAGAGAATAAATATATTCTGAACATTTCGAAGTACAGTAAACTGATTACAATAGTAACATAACTCACTGTTACTATAATGTACAATATATGTTACTGAGTATTCATGAAAAATGCTACAGTAGAATATAATGCAGAATCACCATACCATATAAGATGGAACAATGAACAAATATGGTGCCCACATAAATTTTAGAAATAGTATTTAAAATAGATGCTCTTTTTTACTCATGAACAATAATAAATATTTTATACTGTATCTAGAAAGGCAGTGGGATAAGAAAGGACATTGAGGTGCATGCCTCTGCTACAGTTATTAAAGTCTACATTAGTTTTGCCCATTGAATAAACTGCAACCAAGGTAAGCAAGATTTATAACTGGTCATTTACTTGTGTAAGTTTTTTATGCTAATATGTTGACTCTTTTTAATAAAAAATAGTTTGCTAATTTGCTGATTTTTTTTCCCATCCATAATTGATATGCAAGTTGGTGAATTGATATTTATAGTTAGGTCATTCATATTTTAAAAGAATAATGTCTTGCCTATTGTCCACCCTCTTTTGACAGTTCTACCTTCAGGACAGCTTCTGAACATTTCAATTTTGAAGCATTATAGTTTTACAATTTTGCAACATTACAATGAATAATATAACAAAATGATCAGGTAAACTCCAGTCGTACAATTTATTAATCAGATCTTATCAAATCAGTGATCTGTAGTGCAGTAATAGTTCCTGGTCATTAGATGAATTACAGTGTATTCAAGAGAATGGATTATTCTACTAGGTAATGCTATAACAACATAGTTTGGTAAGGTTTCTCTAATTATACAACTGGGTTATACATTTATGAAATATAAGTTATTCAATATTTGCATTAGATTAGATATGAGAATTTATTGATTTTTGAATATTTATTTATGGGGTCCTAAGGCTAGGGGAGTTACACAGTGAGTAATGTTATTTTGAGGCAGTAGAAAGTGATTTGTTAACTGTGCAGGTAAAGTTAAATTAAGTACTGTGTATTTAGTTTTGGGTGAGTAGGTGATTTTTTAGAAGAGTCTTGAATTGATATAGAGACAGTGGTTTTTTGGTAAGCACTGGTAATGAATTCCAAATTTTTGGGCCTTTTATGTGCATTGAGTTTTTACATAGTGTGAGATGGACACGGGGAACATCAAAGAGTGAGCTGTCTTGTGTTATGGTCGTGTGTTTTGTTAAGGTTGGTAAGGAGAAGTTTGAGATGAGGGTTTATATCTGAGTTTAGTGTTCTATGTATGTATTAGGCACAATAATAAGTATGGATGTTTTGTACGGTGAGTAAGTTTAGACTTGAATATTGGTGGAGTGTGCTGTCTGGAGTGGGAATTTGTTAACATTCTGACTGCAGCCTTTTGCTGGATAAATAGTGGTCTGAGATGATTTATTGTTGTTGAGCCCCATGCACAAATTCCATAGGTGAGATAGGGGTAAATGAGTGATACAGGACAGGGAAAGCTGATTGTGGAACATAGTGCCATATCTTTGATAGTATGCCTACAGAGACTTTCTTGGAAATTTGTTGTACATGTGTCTGAAATTTGAGCCTATTATCAAGGTGGATTCCTAAGAATTTTCCCTCTGAGTTTTGTGATAGGTGTTCCATTTTTCATTATGTTAAGGGGAACATTTGTAGCTCTGTTCCCAAACTGAATGAAATAGGTTTTGTCAATATTGAGAGTAAGCTTGTTAATCATCATCCAGGTAGATATTTTCTGTAATTCAGTATTTACGGTATTGGCTAGGGTGAGAGAAGATGTATGTAGTGTCATCTGCAAATAGTATGGGTTTGAGTAGTTGAAGTGCATTTGGTAGGTCATTTATATAAATGAGAAAGAGAAGTGGGCCAAGGACACTTCCCTGTGGGACACCAACTGTAATTGGTAGTTTGGAAGAGGTAGCTCCATTTGTGTACACATATTGGCTTCTGTTGCTAAGATATGACTTTAGGCAGTTGAGGGAGTGCCCTCTTATACCATAATGTGATAATTTTATGTGCAATAAATCATGGTCAAGTGTATCAAAGCTTTACGTAGATCAATTAAGATTCCCAGTGGGACTTAATTTCTCTCGAGTGCAGTGTATATTAGTTCTATCATGTGTATAATAGCATCATTCGTGTTTTTGTTAGGCCTGAACCCAAACTGACAGGGGTTGAGTATGTTGTGGGAAATGAGGTAGGAATAGATCTGCCTATGAATTAATTTTTCAAAGATTTTAGAGAGAAGGGGTAAATTAGATATTGGCCTATAGTTATTCAGGTCTGTTTGATCTCCTTCTTTATGTATCGAGGTGACCCTTGCTATTTTGAGAATTGAGGGGAAGGTAGAGGATTCGATGGATTTGTTAAAGAGTGTTGTAATAATTGGTGACAGCACTTGAGAAGCTTTTTTGTATATAAAGGGTGGTAATGTATTTAAATCTCCTGTCTTGTTCTTTAGTGTATTTATAATAAGTGAGACTTATGTTGGGTTGGTCGGAGCTAGGAATAGTGTGTTCGAGTAGGTGCCAGTGAGGTAGTCGTTAGGTGAGGTGTTTGAGCTTGGGATTTTGCTCGCCAGGTTTTTTTCCCATGGTGAAGAAGAAAGCATTGAGTCTGCAGTTTCAGTCAGTGGGAGTAAGGGTTCATCTGGTTTTGTTAGTTTGATTGTTCTGTTCCCTGAAAGCTTTTTATTTCCTAGAATTCCAATAGGAGCATTGGTTCTTGTGTGTGGGTGGGCTGTAGCCAACCAGTGATGCAGTAGCTTGCCTCTTGGACAGTGTCTGAGCCAGCAATGGGGTTGAATGTCTATAGTAGTATCTTAGCCAATAGTTTGTACTGTAATTTGATTACTCTTCATCTGGAAGCCATCACGGGTGTTTCCCCCACACTAACTCTTGATTATTTACCCCTCATAAGTGCATTAGTTATAATTACACTATCTTTTGTTTTACCAAGTCGTCATGCCTCTGGTGGCCTGGTGGCTAAAGCTCTCGCTTTACGCGGTGAGGGTCTGGGTTCGATTTTCAGCCAGGGTAAAGACATTGGATGTATTTCTTTACATGTGTTGTCTATGTTCACCCACCAGTAAAATGGGTACCTGGGTGTGGGCCGCATCCTGGGACACTGATCTAATTTGCCCGAAATGCTCAGCATAACAAGGGGCTTTCTATATAGTAGTATGCCATTGATGTCGGCTAGGCCTGTATACCATGTACGTGTACTTGTAGTAAATAAAGATAGTATTATGATGTTATTATTATAAAGTGTGCAGTAAACAGGTCATTTCTCTGGAGATCAACAAGAAAGTGCATTAGTGCGTGAGTATGGCTTACCATAATCAACCATCTCTGTTGTTATCAAGCAAATAGAAATGCAATATTAAAATGGCTGATGAATCTAAGGAAGTGAAAAAAGTTAGAGAAATTATCATAGAGTTGGAAAGACAATGATCAGAGTTGCTGCTTTAGCAGATGAAGGAAGATAGTGCCTGCAAATTGTACCTGTGAGTGTGTAAGTCCAGGGAACAGTAAAAGTTTCACTTCTAGGGTCTTGGAAAGAATTATCATAAAGCCATGTACAGTGGACCCTCAGTTAATGATGCCATCGGATAGTGATAAAATCGGATGTGTTTTTGGGTCAAAATATTGGCTCGGCTAGCAGTAAAAAGCTCAGTTAAGGACATTCGTCCAGAATGTGTCTGCGTGGCCTGAGCTGCCTGGGCTGCCCGGCCACTCCTGTGTGGCCGGTGTGTCATTGTTTACAAGCCAGTGCCGATGATTCCACGTGTACATGCGATACATTTTTCATTTTTCCATTGTTTTTAGTGCTTGTAACTGCTAAATAAGCCACCATGGGCCCAAAGAAAGCTTCTAGTGCCAACCCTGTGGTAAAAAGGGTAAGAAATACTATTGAACTGAAGAAAGAGACAATCACAAAGTACGAAAGTGGAGTGCGTGCCTCCGAGCTGGCCAGGTTGCATAACAAACCCCAATCAACCATCGCTACTATGTTGGCCAGCAAAAAGGCAATCAAGGAAGCTGTAGTTGTGAAAGCTGCAAATATGCTTACAAAACAGAGATCGCAAATACTCGAAGATGCGGAGAGACTGTTGTTGGTGTTGCTCAACGAGAAACAATTATCAGGAGATAGTGTTTCACAGGAAATTGCTTCAGAGGAGGGGGAAGAGAGAAGGAAGAAGTTGCCTTCTTCAAAGATTAAGGACATTTGTACAATGTGGACAAAGGTGCAAACCTTTATGGATGAACATCACCCTGACACAGCTGTTGCAAGTCATACTGGTGAATTTTGCAATGACAGTGTTGTGTCCCATTTTAGGGAAATCTTAGACATGCTAGAAACAGAGTTCTCTGGACAGATTTTTGGTGCAACAGCGGTCCAGTGACTCTCAAGCTGGTTATAGTAGCATTTAAAACAAAGAAGGGAGGTAACCCCAGAAAAGGACTTGCTACCTAAAGTCCTTATGGAAGGGGATTCCCCTTCCAAATAATAATGCACCTCCATCCTCTCCCCTCCTCCCGTCTCATCACTAAGTCTTCAATAAAGGTGTCATTTTATCAATGATTATGTATGTATTCTGCATGTCTCATTGTTTTCTATGTAGGAAAATGTATATTTCATGTGGAAATTTTTTTTTTAATACTTTTGGGTGTTTGGAACGGATTAATTGGATTTCCATTATTTCATATGAGGAAAATTAATTCATATAACGATAAAATCGGTTAAGGACAATGTCTCTGGAATGGATTAATATCGTTAACTGAGAGTCCACTGTATATTGGGTTTTGAGCTAAGATAGTTTTGAGGTATGACAAGTCTTTGGAATAGATTAATATTGTAACTCAAGAGAAACACTAATATGAATATCCTAACTGTACTGCTTTCTTTCAATTGACATTTGCATTTTATTTTTAATGGAACACCCTTGTGGGTTTAGTGCTTAGTTTTGATTATAATTTAATGAAACTAGTAAAATGTGATGAATTTCAAATAGACATAAGTTCAAAAGATAGTGGTAGTACATAATGATTCTTCAGAGCATTATACCTCTGCTGTTCCAAGAATTGAAGGTACAGCAGTCAATAGTGTATAGAGATGAAGGAGTGGCAGTCTTCAGAGGTTGGTGAGAAGCTCCCGATCAAAGGAAGTGGACCTAGATTTTCTTTGTTGATGAGGGGTTCTTTACCCAAATAATTGATCTTATCTTTCCTTAAATCAAAATTGAATGTCTCCAATCCACCAAGAGCTGTATTATCCCTGATTAAAATACCATAAATGCAAAGCCAACCTATTTGTGTCATCTGCACATTAAAATGTAACATTTGTCTCCTATTTGTTGTTTATAACTCCTTGCCCTTTTGCCACCCGATACTTTCGCTTCCTTCCCTGCCCTGCAGTGCTGTATGGCC